GTCTTTTACACCAAATAGGCAACCAATTACAATTAGAATTAGGTGTCCTTTTTTACTTAGATTAGAAGGTTTCTTAAAATATACAAATTTCAGTCTTCTTTCTCTAATACAGTTTGACTTTCTATTTTCTTGATAACTTCTATTCTAACTTGGTCCGCCCCCCTTAGCCCCTCAACTCAAGCACAATCTCCAATACAATTTGACTCTCAAGAATCAAAATTTTGAAATTTCAATTTATTACCATGGTTGAACTTAGAGCCGAAACCGACCCAAACCGACCCAACCCGACTCAAATCGACCAGGTTGGTTTTGCTTAACACAGGGTCAGTTTCGGTTTCAATTTCAGGTAACCCGACCAGGTCAGGTCGGTTGGAAAAATCTCAGTAAACCAACCCAACCCGACCCGTGAACAGCCCTAGTCCCAACATACCCAGGTTTTGACCCCGCTAAGGATCTCACTGATTGGCATATCAAAGACAGTCCAATTCGACACCTAGTGTAGTATCATAATCGAGTCTAGGGGTTAGGTATAACTTTCCAGTTTTGCCCATCAATCTCCAAGGTCCAGGGCAATGCTGGAAATCTGGTCTGGTTCAAAGATTCAATTAATCCTACACTGCATGTACCTCGGGTCTCACCCTGGTGGCAGAGACAACTCACCCCAACCGACTTGGCGGCACATCAGTGTCAGCCTTGTCAGGATAGGTCTTCCCAGACCAACCCACTGGCTGTGAACGTTCTAAACCAACACAAGTCTTATAAGTGTCCGGTTTAAGGGTATTACACAGAAACAYACCATAGGAACATAAATCAAATATGTACTTTATTCATTATAATAAATTCATAATGTACATTATTCTGATTGGAGCTAAGGGCATACAACTGTCTAACAAGCAGATCTATTGAAGACAAGGTGTTATCTCCTAGTGAAGTTGTGGCATCCATTTAACTTGGCGAGTAGCTAGAGATGTCAATGGGTTGGGTCTGGCTGGAACCAAAACCAACCCAACAAGAAATATAAAGGAATTAGAAACTGAACCAGACTTGACAGGGTCTATAATTTTAGACCCAAAATCGAATCAATTGGTTTTAAGGACAATCAAGTCTAACCCAATGGACCCAATTATAATAAACCTGCTGAAAGTATTATACATTTAATATATATGGTTGGGTCTGAGCCAATTTGGGACTGGATAGAACCGGTTTTGAATCAATAATAATTAGACTAATATATTAGGAATCAAAACCGAGCCATCAATACCAAAATGGCCCAATCGGTTCAGGTCCATTGAGTCGAACCCAACCTATTAACAACCCTACGAGCAGCCAATCCAATGGAGGAAGAATGTAATTAGTGATAGGCCCTCTCACCTAAACAATATTGAGATTAGACCTGTTCATGGGCTAGGCAGCTCGACAGCCCGACCCGTTATAAGTCGGGTTTGGTCATAATTTTAGGCCTGCGGGCTCGAGCTCAGGCCTAAAGCACCAAGCCCGACTTTTTTTTTGGGTCAGGCTCGGGCTTTCTCAAAAAAGCCCGGCCCAAGCCTAAACCTAACATGGTACTATATATTAAATAATAAAAAAGATATATTAAATAATAAAAAAACTCTTTTTTTTTCAAGTAATAGTGAAATATTTATTATTTTTGAGTTTTGAAGGTTTTTAATATAAATAAAACACTTTTTATTGAATAAAAAAAATATGTTTTCAAAATTCTGGCCAGGCTCGTGCCCGGGCTTCAGGCTTTATATGAGGGTCGGGTTCAAGCTCAAGACCTAGGTTCGATGGTTGAGAAAGGCTCGGACTTGGGCCCAGGCTTCGGGCTTTATATGAGGGTCGAGCTCGGACTCAAGACCTCAGTCCGATGGTTGGACTAGGCTCAGGGTCGGGCCTGAATATATTCTATTGATACATAGACAAACCCGACCCGAACCCGACTTAACCCATGAACAGATCTAATTGAGATTACTCGATGAAGATGGATCAGACTACTAATTCCATTTGTTAAAGATGGACGCTAGTTAAAGTAGGAGTAGGTGTGATTGTTGGTGATGAACGATGATGATACAAAATATCCTAATGTATGGATGGATCAGGCAATAGAGTTCATGAGCTTGCTCAATTTGAAGTTAGGCAAAATTGTTCAATGACATGTTCTCAAGTGCCAAATTTCGTCTTTAAGTCATTGCTATTTGCTAAGATTAGAGAGTATAGATATAAATATGTATAGTGTAAATATATATAAAATAATATAAAATACAAGATTGTGCATTCTACATATTTGTATTTGTACTCTTTTTCCGCCTTAAGGGATAAAAAACTTTTAGGATGCGTTCTACAACAACATGAACATTTTTGTTTTCATTTATTTTTTAAACCGCTACATTATCTAGAAAATAAAAATATATTCTTCAACTTTGTTTTTTTGTTTTTAAAGGAAAAAACAAATTGGATTTGTTTTAAAAACAATATATGTTTTTAGAACCAATAAAACATTGGTTTTTAAAACAAAAATAATTTTCAAGTATAGAAATTATATGATTTATGAAACATGATGTTGAGAAAACATGTTTTTGAAATCAGATTTAAGAATATGTCTTTGATTCCAGCTTTGAAAACAAAACACATGCATAGAACATTCACACACAACCAGTTCAGTTTCAAGATAGAAGATAACGAACAGTATCTTCAAAATAATTCTGATATTTTAAGTAAATAACTGATGATCGATTAACGCAGGGACCAACTTGATACTTTTTATAATGAAGTGACACGTTTAAAAGATCGGGCACTAACTTTACAATACGCCCAAATTTGAGAATTTTTTTTTCTTGAGCACAGACCAGAAGCAACCATTTAGTTCCGCTTCCTGCTTTAATCATTTTCTCTATCCGGGTTTTTGTTTGAAACTTTGAATCCCCACGATGCATCTTCAAACACTAACACAGCCAACCTACATTCTCAATTCTTCCAGTTTTTTACCTTATTCTTGTTTCATCGTCCCGTTCCAACCAGTAGTTCCATACCCCAAATGCGTCTACGATTCAAATTTCAAGAACGGGTTTTGCAGTTTATTCAAAAGAGTACCTCGATTGCTCACTAGTTCGAGAACTCATGGTGGCTTGATTGGAATCAGATGTGAGAGTTTCACAGATGAAGACAGGTTCTATATGAGGAGGTGTGTGCAGCTTGCAAAGACAGCAATTGGGTGCACGAGCCCTAATCCCATGGTGGGGTGTGTTATCGTGAAGGATGGGAACATCGTCGGTGAAGGGTTTCATCCAAAAGCAGGGCAGCCTCATGCCGAGGTAAGCCGCGTTTCACATTTTCTCTCTGTCTGCTTTTTTTTTTTTTATCAGGTTTCTGCTAGTTTGAGTAGGTTATCAGACCAGTAGGTCTTATTTTAACCTTATTTTATGGATGAATGTCGAGTCTTTATGGAGTTTGACATGCAGAAGAAGTGGAAAAGGGAAAGAAGAAAGAAAAGATTTTTATTCTTGTTTTTGTACTACTGCTACTGAAGTAGTTGTGAGAGGAGATGAATGTTGCAGGTTTTCGCTCTGAGGAGCGCTGGGGATTCGTCTGAGGATGCTACAGCATATGTGAGCTTGGAGCCTTGTAACCATTACGGGAGAACTCCACCCTGTACTGAAGCGCTTATTCGAGCCAAGGTAAAAAGGGTTGTGGTTGGAATGGTGGATCCAAATCCAATTGTTGCTTCAAAAGGGGTGGAAAGACTGAGGGAGTCAGGAATTGATGTCACAGTTGGTGTAGAGGAAGAACTGTGCAAGAACCTTAATGAGGCATACATCCACCGAATGCTTACAGGGAAGCCATTCACTATGCTCAGGTAAGACTAATAGTTGCATTTGGTTTTGATTAGTGAGTGCAAACCATGAATTGCGAATATAAGATATCTTATTTCTTGTTTATTGTATTCTATTTCTGCTGAATGGGATTGATGAACAATAATACAAGCAAAATGGGTTGTATTCTTGCATTGAAGAATAGTGAAATTTTATAGAGGCTCATCTAGGGATGTAGTCATTTAGTGCTGAACCACGGAAAATCTTGTAAGTTGTTCCCTGTGTTTGCATAATGCATTCTATTTCATGTTTTCTTTGTTTCGGGCACAAGGGGTGCTTTTCAGTTTTTAACCCATTTAGAGTTACTGTAATTCTGCACAGAATGTAGCTCTAAATCAAAATACTTAAACAAAAGGAAAAACTTAAAGGCACAAAGATCAATCAGATTCAGATATATAAACTAATTTACATTTCCTATAAAAATGGCATTCATGGTTGGAGATTTGAATTATGAACTTTTAAGTGTTTGTAGTGATGAACACAGTAAATCTTGTATGTTATTCCCTGTGTTTGCATAATGCATTCTATTTCATGTTTTCTTTGTTTCGGGCACAAGGGGTGCTTTTGAGTTTTTAACCCATTAGAGTTACTGTAATTTTGCACAGAATGGAGCTCTAAATCGAAATACTTAAACAAAAGAAAAAACTTAAGGCACAAAGATCATCAGATTCAGATATATAAACTAATTTCCATTTCCTATAAAAATGGCATTCATGGTTGGAGATTTGAATTACAAACTTTTGAATTTTGTTTAATTGAAGGCTGTCTGAAATCTGATTCTGGTCTATGAACTTCTTAGTAAATGAAACTTCTCGTGCAAATTATACTTTACCTCATAATGGTACTGATTATCAATATTAACTGTACCATAATCTTCTATTATTTGGTATCTGCAACAGTTTTTTGCTTTAAACAAGAGCTGTCCAAGTTCTGAGCAAAATTAAATTTACACAAGCTATAGCTTACCTTTCAGTGGCATTGCATATTAATATATAACAGTAGCTAGTTTTTTATCTTCTTCATGAATGACGTTTTTTCATCCTTTGAATTTTTGAGTACCAAGTAAGTTGTAGCTTCAACTTGATATTTTCTTCTTAAGACTCTCTTCTTGACCAGCAGATACTCACTGTCAGTCAATGGCCGCATCTTAAGCCAGCTTGGAGAAGGATCAACACAGTCTGGTGGGTATTATTCACAATTGCTACAGGAATATGATGCAGTCATACTTTCTAGCACCTCATTTACTGAAAAATCTTCCTTTCCTACTTCTCAAGAACCCAAAGCCAATCAACCTATGAAGATTATTGTACATAGAAACCCAAATTTGCTAATGCAAATACCTACTGTCCCTCCAGAGGCTGCTAGTCAGGTGATAATTTTCACTGCCGGGGACACAGCTCTAAACACGGAATTAGCTCAACAGGGAATTGAAACAGTGGTTTTTGATCAGATAAGTTTAAATACAATTCTCGATTATTGTGGCTGCCAAGGATTTTGTAATGTGTTGTTGGATATACAGGGTGATTGTGATGATTTATTGGAGCTCATTGAAGACAGTCTCGAGCAAGGTTTGTTACAGAAGGTAATGATGGAAGTATTTCCACTTTGGGATGGAAGTGAAGGGAGTTCATTTCTGGCGTTGAAGAATCTCAAGAGGTCATTTAGATTAAAGAAGTTAAAGTCTACTAAAGTTAAGGACAGTGTTCTCATAGAGGGATACTTCTGCTAGAAATTCACTTCAAGTGAAATGAATGCCACTGGTTTTTGTACCCAGTCATGAAAGTCAAAAATGGCAATAAAAGAGAAGGAAAAAGGAATTGTAATGAGTTTTTTCTTTGTTTGCCTTTAGGGCAGTGAAGACAGATTGAAATCTTTGTTTGTCTTTAGGGCAGGGATTAAGGGCTAATGACAGAGCAGGGTGCACCCAAGGTCCACAGATCTTTCCATGACAAAGCCTTCAGTTATGTGGGTTTGATACGATTCCTGCGTGGTTGGAGTGATGCAGAGTGACCATCTCAGCTAAGGAAGATTGAAATCAATTTATCAATAATAAGCTTTTCCTTCATTGATAAAGAAAATTCATCATCATCCAGGCCTTATCCCAACTATATGGGATCTGCTACATGAATCCCATCTTGCCATAACTTTGTGTTTAATGTCAAACCCATTGTTAAATTATTAGCATTTAAATCATTTTTTACTATGAACCATTTCCTTTTTTTGTAAAGTAGATTAAAATCAATTAATCAAGAATGAGCTTTTCCTTCTCTTTTTTCAGTTCTTTCTTGTGGGGATTATTTTTCTTTGTAAAATCCATGATAAGAACTAGAATGCTGTAAAATGCATTCAGGGGATGTGAATGTGGGCTAAATTTACTGTGGTAGGAGATGACTTTGAATCTATAATATAAAGTAGTGATGCCTGAAAATCAGAATAAAGATACCAAAGAGAGTAGTCTTGAGACCAAAGACACCAACTTCCAAATAAATCAAATACCATCTTTATGAAGGGGTGCAAGTAAATTAATCTTCTACTATTTATAGGAGTTAAGACCATGGTTTTAGCAGATGGTAACCAGGCATTGCTGATCATGACACCTAATGGGTGCATGATTCCAGCACTCACCTAACACTGCTCTGGTCTATGGTAAAATAATAGAATTGCTGTTACAAATGGGTTATAAGTTGCTGAACTATTTATTTTTTGGTAAACCAAGAGTAACTGTTTATGTCAAATCTAACCATATTGAGGGTTAGTCTGATAAACAAAATGGTTAGGTTTTTTGTGCAGAGTATCTGAATCAGCAGACTTGGAGACACGTGGGTACATGTACACCTGGTTTGGGGGGGGGGGGGGTTAAAACTTTGGAATGATAAAAGGCGTCCCTCTACTGCTTATAAAATAGAAAAAACGAAAATAAATAAAGAGTATCGGTCTTATCAATATGGGTGGCAGGTTATTCAATCATTTGAATGAAATTGGTCCCATGAGAATATATTTAAATAATGAATATAAAAAATACAAAATATACAAATTATAGACAATTGTTTAAATAAATAAAGTACTTTTGTAAAATTGTTTTTGTAAAGTACATCCATAAAATGCTTTTATAAAAGTGTTTTCATAAAAGTACTTTCTTAAAAGTGCTTTTGTAAAAGTACTTTATAAAAGTGATTTTGTAAAAATGCTTTTCTGAATGTACTTTTATATCGTAAAAGTTCTTTTATAAAAGTACTTTTATAAAATTCAACTAGGGATAATTTATGAGTGGTATTTTAAAATTTAACTAGGGATGATTTTGGAACAACAAAATTTGAATAAGTGCTTATTATATAAGCACTTAAAAAAGTTGGAAATTTAGGCTTAATATTTATTTCGGGCTTATTTCCCAAATACCAATAAGTACTTAATGGCCCAAACGAACACTTATTTTGAATAAACACTTATTCTTAAGTACTCCTAAACATGGCCTAAGTCACCATTTGATGCAAGAGCCAAGAGCTCATCTATATCACATAAAACCGCTCAAAAATAGATCATGTGTGAGTTAAAAAAAGGTTGTTGTTCCCTGTATGTATGCATAAAGAAAGAGGACTGTGGAGACCATGGTCGCTTATCATAGGCCTAACACAAAGTCTCCCCTTCTCTCCTTTTTCAAACATGTGAAATATTAAAAATAAAGAACTTACCAAAATCAAAATAAAATTTTAAAATTAACTACATTTTAATGTCCTATCATAATTTCTCATAAATCTCAATGAACACATCTTCTCATAAAACCCTCTTATGTCTTAATTTTTTCTATTAAATTCTACCATTATTTCTTGTTCTCTATTAAAATCTACCATCACTCTTCTCTAATAAAATCATTCTTTATTCTCTCTCCCCCACTTTTCTCTCTTCAATAGTTATTGTTTGTAACATTTCCCCTTCCCAATATCTTTGAAACTCTTTTTTCCCTGATCTGTCTCCTCATAAGAACTCTCTCTCTCTCTCTCTCTTCAATAGTTATTGTTTGTAACATCTTCCCTTCCCCATTAAATCTCTTATTCCATATGATAAATCTTTGAAACTCTTTTGGCCCTTACATGTCTCATCATAAAAATCCTCTTATGTCTTAATTTTCTCTATTAAAAACATACCATTACTCTTCTATAATAAAATCGTTTTTAATTCCCTCCCCCCTTTCTCTCTTATTCCATAATTTCATCAATGTTTGTAACATCTCCCCTCCCTCTGTCCCTCATTAAAACCCTTTATTCCTATTCAGTTTTTATTTTTTGCAACTATTTTGACCCCCTCTAATGAAACATGGGTATAATTAGATGGATTGGGTGGGGTGGGGTAAAGAACTAACCCTAGACCAACCTTGAACATGTACCTTGACTTGGAACCAAATTGATGTCAAAACCTAAATTTGCCAATCCAAACCTAATCAAAATTTTATTACCTTATGTGTTTGCATGGGTTTTATTACTAGTAGATTTGGAATTTTGTTAGGTGTTGACTGGTTTGACTCATAGGCAAATTTTATAAGGGAAAATTTATATTTCCGGTAAGACATGATACCGTAAGTATTTTGACCAATCAAAACCCTCACATGAATTCGATAAGGGTTCGACTATGATATCAGAAAGATATCATATCTGAAAATTTTTTGACTAATAAACTAGTATCATAGACTTGGTAGACAATCAGGTGTTATTTAATATTTATCAAAATTTATGGGTGGATTTTGATTTGTCAAAACTCTTCCAGTAATTGATAAATAACCATCTGATTTGGTTAGCATTTTTATGATACAGTTGATTGACTGTAATTTTTTCTTATATCATGTCTTTTTGGCATTTAGTCGAAACTTTTTTATAAATATTTTTTCAAAATTCACGGAAGATTAAACTTGGCTTATTAATAGGGTTTTAATCGGGTTGGATTCAGATCTGAAGCAGCTACATCCGAATCTTATTTGATTATCAACACGTTAGAATGTGGATCTGATTTAAAATCTGATATGTTGGATTTGGATTAAATCTAAATATGACCTTTTGTGCTTAAAATCAACAAAGGAAATCAAAATTTTTTATTTTATTTAATTTATGTAATAACTTTACCTAAATATAAACTATTAAAGAATCGGATTAGATCGGATCGGATGTGGTTTGGTTAAAGAACCGGATGGGTTAAAAGCACGTTTTAACATCAAATTCTCAGCTGCCGTACATCTAGTTCACATTAAACCCAGGAAAAAACAAGGACCTACTTTGACCCGACCCGAATAAGTTGTGTGCCTGACATGGTAGTTTCTCGATCTGTTTCACAGTATATAATTACTCTAGTCAATGGTCCAGTAAATTCAAGCATCGATGGTTAGAATCTTTGAATCATTCGGGTTTCATTTGGTATACTTGACCGGCTGTAGCCAGTTCCCAGCCGTTGGGCATTCGAAAGATGGAGGAGAAAACAATTAACAACCCGAAGAGACGGTGGATATGGTTGACAAATTTTCCAATCTGTCAATCCTAGCCGTCGATGCACCACAAACTGCTCGACATTTAGTCACAAGGTTTGAACTATAGAAGTCCGCCCCTTTTATGTTTGAAAAAAGTACTAGGACCGTTTCACTCTCACAGCCACCTCTCTCTCTCTCTCTCTCTCTCTCTCTCTCTCTCGCTCACTCGCTCGCTCTCTCTGCGGATTTCGACGTGCCTTTGCAGATCTTTCTTCAGTTCGGATTAAACGAGGGTAATTTCTTCTCTAAGATCTGCAATGTGCACTAAGTCGGTTTTCTCATTGATCTCGTCGATACGGTGTCTGAATCGATTCTCTGTTTTCTACAGTTCGAAGATCAGTACAGTGAGTTGTTCTTCCTAGGCTTTCTGTTTTCTGTTTCTTTTGATGAAATTTCGATTTTTTTTGGATCTTTGTCTAGGATTTATTTTGGGGGAAAATTCGTATAAAATTTGTAGCGTTGAGCCGCTGAAGCCGGAATCCGTGATTTTAACTACTGATTTTTCGAAGAGGAAAAAAACTAAGTTGCCCTTGAAGAACTTGTTTTTTTTTTTCATAGTTGGAATCGGAAAGTTTGTGGGGGTGCTAATATGTCGATTGTGCTGGTTTAGGTTGTATTTTGTTTGATGAGAGCTTGTTGAAGATTAGGTTTTTGCTTAGGTTGGTAGGTTGCACCTTTTAAATTGAGTATAGAATCTGCAAATTGCCCATTTTTTGGTTCTCTACATTTTTATATTACAAAACTAATGTCATCATTTTGAAGATATCCTGAAATTTAGGAGGTGAACCGGGGGAAGGTTCAGGTTATAATTGGCTGTTTGGTACCATTTAAACTTGGTAGACTCCAGGTGTTCCGAATAGTTATTGTGTTTTCCTAAGTTATCATGTGAAACAAATGGGTTAACAGGTTATACTGGACTAATTTAACGATTAGAACCTACTTGGTTGTTTAAATAATCTTGTCAAATCAAAGCTGAAATTAATAATTTTGTTGCTTCTTTTCCAATTTGAAATAACTTTTGGATTTAAGAATTATCAGGAAATAGAAAAGTTCGATACCTCAAGTGTTGCAGTTACTTTTACTTTTCCATAGAGGAAAGTAAATAGATCCTTTTGGTTTATCTTGACTTCTGATTTGTTTCAGGATCTAAAGAGCACTTATTTTCTACAGAACAAAAAATATCTGGATTTAAAATTGGAAAACAATATTTTAGAACAAGTGCATAGTTGCATATTCTTGAATAGTAGATGTTGTTTTCAGTGCCCATTATTTATTTTTTTGATCTTTCTTGCAAGTGGATTTTGTTTCACGGATTAACAACTCTTCCTTTTAATAACATATAATTAGAAATCGTTCATAACTCATGAATGGTGGAACAGAATGCATGTATATCTAAAATGGGTTTGACTATGATATCGGAGAAATTTATAACCAATCAACCGGTATTGGGCATAGAAATAGATTGAATTGGGCATTTATTTCCTTTCTCTTTCTGATTTTCATTCACTTTTTGTCTTTGTCATCTAGCTGGTGATTTTTTCCTTCCAAAAGACAGCTTTGGCTGCTATTTAGGGATGTATATGATGGTTTGCGGAACCTATTCTGGAGAAAGTTGCATCCAAGTGGGAATTAGCTTTTCTGGCATTGACTTCTGGTTAAGGAACGATGGCAAGTGACAGTACAAAAGGTGTTAGAAGAGTTGAAGTTCCTGTAAATGCTCCTCCAGATGGAGGCAGTGACAGTTTCCAGAAAATACGCCCCATGCATGGGTAAATTTCCAAAAGGCTGTTAGCATGCCTTTTTGCTCATTTTCCTTTCCTATGTTCTTAATGTTTCATCCTACATCACATTGTTATTCTTTAATACTAATTACTGATCCTCTAAACTTTGGTACATATATACACTTTTTACATGTTTCTTCATGCTTATTGTTGTTGAGCCATGTGAATGCTTGACTTCTTTGATTTCTAAAGGTAGATAGAGAAATGTGAGCTTTTCTAGTTTTAGAGTACTCACTGTTTCTTGCACACACCCCAATACATGCTTACCACTTAATTATTTATTGCATATTCTTGAAAGTTGTTGATTTATCTGTTATTGGAAGAATTCCCGTATGATCAATATTGGCACTTATGTCATGTGATACCTTTATAGGCGGACTAGTGGCCCTACAAGGCGCTCTACGAAAGGGCAATGGACACCTGAAGAGGTAAACTTTACTTTTCAAACTGATGTTATAATCTCTCCTGAAGAACTTGCCCTTTATGTTTAATTACCTCGTCTATCCTTTGGCTGAGATGCTAAAGGATATGACTAAAGTTGGAAATATCTTGGAATGTTACTTCTATTAGTTTCCTTTGTTCAAGCATTGAAGAAGTTTAGGCACTGAAGTTTTTCGTAATCAATTTAGAAGTTTTTGAATTGAGATATTAAATATTTGATTTGTTGAACACGATAGATTAAGTGCATCTATTTTACTGAATTTTGGGTCACATATTCATTCTCTTATCCTTTCTCTTTTCACGTAAACTATTTTTTTGTCTTCTCAGTGCCCTTTGACATTATATTTATCTTAAAAAGCAACATTTTCTCTTTTGCTTGTACTAATTGCTTCTGATTTTTGTGTACATTCTGCTCCTTTCAATTCATATTTGCTGTTGACTTATTTATAACAATGATTCCTGTTGTCTTATTGGCTTGCTAACTGGGATTCAATGTATCATGGATTTATAGCTATTTTTGTTGAGGAGCCCACGAACACACTCACTATCGAGTACTTTGAGCACTAAATTTGTAATTCTCTGGGGGGAGTGTGTTGGTAGTTATAAATTCCATGTATAATATAGCCTTGCTGTGCTTTTTCTAAAAACAGGGGTGGTCAATGGTGTTATCATTGTGTCTTTGTAACAGATGTTAATGCCCAATAAAATAGTTGCTAGTTGGCTAGCAGTCATTATTCTATTTTAAGATTCAGTTGTGTTCTAGACATTTGATGCTGTTCCAGGAGGAACTGGAATTGACTGATTATATATTGAAGTTACTGCTGCCAGATTAGCCACCAGCCTTAACCTATTATTTGGTTGGTTGGTTGCATTAAGTGGTATTATATGATGAACTGTTTATTTTATGTTGTTTCTTCAAATGTACTTTTTATTTTATTTTCATGTTTTCTACATCATTTTTCTGTATGTCCTTTTAAAATGTCCATGATTTCTGTATTCAGGACGAGTTATTGCGCAGGGCTGTCCAGCGTTACAAAGGAAGGAATTGGAAAAAAATAGGTACCCTTCATGGGACTAGTGCGTTTTTGTTTTCATTTACTATAATGAAACCAATATTAGTTTGCTGCTAGCTCATCAAAACAATAATTTACTTTATTCTCACTTTGCATGTTGAATTTAGTAATGATTTAATAGGTTGTGGATATCAATTCAGTTCTGGTCCTGCCCAAATTCCTGAAATTTGAAAATGTAGATTGGCCACAGCCCACAATTTCAAAATGTAGATTGTGCACAAGTGGGATGCTGTTAAAAGAATTGCTGTCACGTGCTTCTTGTGTCATTAGTCATTACAACACACTTTTTAGTTTAAACCGTCTCATTGTTCCATTCAATCAGTAGCCTGTCAAAAAGTTTTATTTTATTTTTTCTTTTTTTCCTTTTTTTGTTTAAATCATTTCATTATTCTATTCAATCAGTAGCCCGTCTTGCATATCTTTATTTTTTACTCCTTTTAGAAGTGATTGCTGAATATTGCTGGCATTTTGAGGAGCTACATGTTTTGTTTCTATTGTATGTTCTCACTTCTCATCTCTTTCCAAGTGATCTGTTTCTCTTATGTATTTGCTTGCATTCATGTATTCCTTCCTTGTTTTCTGTTTCCAGTCTGGACTATCATATTAGAATAAGATGATTTATTTAGCTGTGGTTTACATGCCCTTGCAATTCAGTATATAAGCAATTTTCTGTACATCTATAATTGTGCCTTTTGCAGCGGAATGTTTCAAAGATCGTACGGATGTTCAATGCCTGCATAGATGGCAGAAGGTTCTAAATCCAGAACTTGTTAAAGGTCCATGGTCAAAAGAGGTGAAATTTTTAGGAATGGTTTTGGGATCTTATACTATTCTATTTTCAAGTTCCGGTGTTGCAAACTTTTGGAATCCATCGTAACATCTTATATAATGCACACTATGATGTAATCTATTGTTTTTGTAATATTTTAAATAGGAAGATGATATAATAGTAGAATTGGTAAATAAATTTGGGGCAAAGAAGTGGTCTATCATTGCGCAAGCATTGCCTGGACGTATTGGAAAGCAATGTCGTGAAAGGTATGTTTGATTAAAACCATATCTTAGGGCCTATGCAATTGATGCTCTTGTTTTTATATCAAGGCAGTGGTATCATGTTATGAGAAAATTGTGTTGTTACTTGCATATCCATATTGTTAATTAATATTCTCCTTTTTATGCCTAAGCTTTCTTGTACTAGAAATCACAATTTTCTAGAATTGCTGGGAATCTGTACCTCCAACTTGTGTGTAAATTTAAGAGGGAAAGGTCCAAGATCTTGCCAAATCTTGAAGCTTCTAAATGTGATTGAAATATTGCATCTTTAGGTTTTCAAAATTCTAAAATCTCTGTAAAATAACTCTTAAAGTTACTATGAACCTTAAGATAATTAACCCCATTTCAAAGATACTGACCAGCTAAAAACTAACTGTCAAAAGACTCAAATTGACTAAAGGTAGAGACATCCAAAAACTTGAAAAGGAATTTGGAGAAAACTGATTTCTTTTGTGGATTCTTTCCCTGCTTCCATGCTTGCATGAGTGGCCTTTGAAACTATCTAGTCACATCATTAGGTAATGGAATTTGGGGATGGTGAAATCTGCAATTTAGCCTATGCTGTTATAACTAACATACCCTCTGACACTAGCTATTCATGTCATTAGGTAAAGGAATAAGCTATAAATTACTTATCATTTATAAAAAGCTATGCATTACAATGAAAACCATGACTCTTGCAAGATTCTAGAAGGATTTCAGTTAAAGGGTTTTATTGTTTGGTATTACTTCTCATGATCTAGGATGTTTTGGGTGCACCCAAGGCACACCTTCGATATGCCTTGGCAATCTGGACAAGATTGTGGCATCTAATCATCCAATCACAGCTCCTTGATTGGGAAGTCTAGGGCTTGCAAGTCCAGGTTAAACTGATGATGGTTTAGTTTTTATTTTACCATTGAAAACACACAAACTTATCAAGGGTTGAGATATGGGCCTAATTGGGGCAAAATTTCATTTTATTAGGAGAGAGATAGGGGTCATCATGCTTGAAGGGATGGATAAGGGGTGCCAAAATTAAGTGCTAAGACAAATGCTGTTGCGTTCTAACAATTCTACCAAACTGCAATGACAACGTTGATTTCTGTGTGGTCACTATCCATGCTAGTAGTACTGCCCAAGTTGTGCCTTGGGCCAATCCATATTATGAATGACCATTTTCACCTTTAGACTTGACTGTACATGTAATTTTTATCCTATAAGCTGTGGGTGTTGAATGGGTGTCATGTTTTACATAGTACTGAGCATGGAAAACTCTAAAAGTTAACAATTGAATGATAGTAAATAACTAAATATGCATATGCATTTGCACACACATCTGTAGTTGTGCTTGTGCACTTTTTATGTTAATAAATTCAAAAGAACAAAAATAGTGGGTCCCACAATGTGAACTACACAAGAAATTGTTTTATGAACTTCATGAAATAAATAAAGAAAAAAATTGTATTTGTCCTTTTGTGTCTAACATAGCCATACATCTATAGGAAACTATACCCATATGTGTAGGTTTTATTTGATCTTGTGATGATGTGGTTGTCTTACCTTTTTTTCCTCCTAAATATTTAGTTTTAATAATTTTGGTGACTTGTTTTTGCATTTAGATGATACATTTCCATTTACTTGACATGAGACTAATTTCAGGTGGCATAACCATCTGAATCCTGCTATAAACAAGGATGCATGGACCCAAGAAGAAGAATTAACTTTGATTCAGGCTCATCAAATTTATGGGAACAAATGGGCAGAGCTAACAAAGTTCTTGCCTGGGAGGTATGTTTTCTTGGGTTTGGACTGGTATGCACATTTAACTTCTGATGCTTGTATCTGTCTATATGAATACTGAAATATCTTTAAGCTTGTGTGGCCATCAGGACAGACAATGCAATAAAAAATCACTGGAACAGCTCTGTAAAAAAGAAGTTGGACTCATACTTGGCATCAGGTTTGCTTGCACAGTTTCAAGGTCTGCCTCATGTGCGAAACCCAACTACTCGATGCATGCCTTCATCCTCTATTACGGTACAACACAGTAGTGGAGATAATAATGTTCTCAAAGATGGGGCAGAAGCAGGGGAATTATCAGAATGTAGTCAAGGTTCAGCTGCTATTGGTTGCTCCCAGTCTGGGTCTGACATGGTTAACACGGTTCCGGTGCATGTACAAGAGAAACTTAAATCGTCGGAGGAAGCTAATCAAAGAGAAGGTCAAAGCTCTAATTCATCATGTACTGGACAATATTATGCATCTCTGAGAGAAGCCCCAGAAATACTTAATAGTGTAGTTGTTTCTGTCAAGTCCCCTGAGGGAAATGTACTACAGGAAGATGATGAAACTACTGGTAATAACGGTTTTAAGTTTGAATCAGATGAACTACCTGTTTCCTTGGTGGAAGTAATACAGGAACCATCAGAGTTGTTTGAAACATCGGGGCACTGTACAAGTGGTGTGGATGAAAACAACTCCATGGAGTTCAATTCTTCAATTTCAATGGAAAATATAATTGTTGATAATGATAAACAGAACTTGTCAATCACAGAAGGTGATTTTGGTGGGGTTTCATTCTCAGAAGCAGGAATGCATGGATGCTTTTCTTTGGAAAACCCCATCAATCAGAACATTATTGATCTGGATGGATGCACTGATTCATTTCTTTGTCATTCTGACATTCAGACCTCTGAAACTGTAGGGAATTTAGTTTCACACTCTTATTATCCACTAGGATCTTCTCCTATGTTGGGAACCACTTGCTGCCAAACTTTGTTGTCTGGTCCTTCATTACATTGCCCTGCAGATAATGAACTTGTATATGGTGGAGAATGTGATGAAGTAAGAGACATGTTGCGTGGAACTCAGGATTCAGAGCTTGTTACAAATTCATGCCCTTGCTTTATCTGCCCTGATGAATCTACTAGGTTTCCTTATGATGGTGATTTGGATAAAGTTTGCCAGCCTGTGGAGACTGATCAGGCAAAGGAAGCATCAGAATCACTTGCTGTGGATATTTTTGGTTCATTGGCCTCAGATACAATTGGCAACCTTCCTTGCATGGATGAAAACACAATTATGGTTACAGAACATCAGGATTCAGAATCTCTTTTTTATGAGCCTCCACGTTTTCCAAGCTTGGATATTCCTTTTGTTAGCTGTGATCTCATCCCATCTGGAAGTGATACGCATCAAGCATATAGTCCCCTTGGGATCCGCCAACTGATGATGTCTTCCATGAACTGTTCTACCCCATATAGTTTTTGGGATTCACCAACCCATGATGATAGTCCTGATGGTGTTCTGAAAAGTGCTGCCAAAAGCTTCCTGTGCACACCATCCATTTTAAAGAAAAGGCAGCGTGACCTGTTATCTCCTTTGCAGGAACGGAAGAGTGACAAAAAATTGGAAAGGGATGCAAGTCAGGGTTTATTCTGTACTACTCTTAGAGACTTGTCTTGTTTGGATGTTATGTTTGATGATTGTGGGGGCTGCAAGACTTCTTCCTTATCTTCTATTGAGGGGACTATCTTGTCTCCATCATGTTGCAAGAAAAAAGGGTCTATTGCCTCCAATGAAGATAAAGAAAATTTGAACCCAGCTTTTGAAGTGCAAAAAGATGGGCCTGCATTGCCAGACAACAGGATTTCAGAGGCAGAGTTTGATAACGGTAGTTGTCAGGATAAGATAAAAGAAGTAAATCCAGACATGGTTAAGGCTGATGCCAATGAAAAAATCCAGACAGTAAGTCTCCCTCCCTCCTCTCTCTCACCTAAAAACACACACATACAAACATCTGTCTCTCTCAATATACATGCATGCATGTGCATTCTACTCTAACTTCTTTTTTATGTAGTAACACCATTCAATGTAATTATTTTACAAATACAGTGCTAAATTGAACCTTCATTTGTGTACACCTCATTAATTCTTTTCCTGTTTTGAACCTTCATTTGTGTACAGCAACCTTCTGGAGTATTTGTAGAACAAAATGTCAGTGATCTGGTGTTCTTTTCTCCTGATCGAGATGCATTCCCAAGAAAGAGAGCCTTGAGTGCTGTCCAAACTCCCAGAAATCAATACTCTAGAAACTCTGAGGCTATGTTAAACCAAACAGGTAGCTCAAAGTCTTCATCAAGGAGTAGATGCATTTCCTTACTGATCTCTCCTGCTGTTTGTGAAAAGAGGCATGGAAACAATTCAGTTCCAGATGCATCTCTTCAAAGTGGTTCTTCACCAAATCCAGTTGAAGTTACATTTGAGAGTGCTGACGGTGCTGATATTGAAAGTTTTATCATGTAAGAACTAATCTTCTTTACTCTTAATTGTCTTTGATTATATATGCCCGACATGTTGCAATGATTTGAGCTGTCATTTTAGCTTTATAGGGTTAATAATGAGGGAATCCCGTTGGGCATGATCATTGGAGCTAAATGGTATCATCATTGTATTCATGCTTTGCCATCCTATTTTCCCCTAAAATCCTGTTTATTCTGTAGTGAGCTTTTGTGTTTTCTGTTGTAGTTAGATGGAATTCTTCATTATATTTATACTTTGAAATCCATCCTGGGTTTTGTCTTTCATGTTTTCCCCTAAAATCCTGGTACAGATTGTTTCTTGTAAGATCATCTCTTTGATCTCTATGTGCCTAACCTGGTGAAAGGATTACACTATGCAGGTTTGGTGCATTCTGTGTTCAAGATACTGGTTAGTGCTTCTTAATTTAGTTTCATGCTCTTATTTTCCACCGGGATCTTCAAGATATTGGTTAAATGATAGTTTACATACATACAGTAAGTACATTTTAAGATTATTAAGACCGTAAGAGAGCCCACATTCCAATTTCTCTCCTTAGCATTGAACTAGAAGAATAACCAACTACAGGTTGCCAAACCATAGAAATGTCAGTTATCAACTGAAATCCCCATGTCTTTCATGGATATTACTTAGCATATGGCTCCCCATAGTTATGATGTCCCTGGTTGCCAAGTTTGCTATAGTTTGAAGTTTTACATATCACTTGAAAATGTGTATCGTTTTATCTCATGACTGCAAGTCTGCACAAGATAATGGCTATTGGACTCTTGGTGAATCTCATGACAATCCAGCATGTTATTAGATTGGATTTTAATTGGTATAGGAGTTGATTTGGAGTATCTAGTTTCTATCCTTAATGCTAATGATCATTGTCTGTCAGTGAAAGTTGTCCGTCTCATCTGTCCAGGCTGATGTTGTAATGAATGATTTTGTACTTCTATTGGTACATCTCAACCACATTCTTCTTGATTGCCATGGTTTAGCATTTGTTTGACTATAAAAATATTCTTTTTACACTTTTGAAGATCCCATTTTATAAGACTCATGGCTTAAAAATTTATTGTAGGGAGATACATTCTGACTTACAAAGTACAAACATTCATAGGTAGAAACCATACAAAGTGTAGAAAATTTATCTTGTCTTGATGCTTTTCTTTTGTTTTTTTATTTACTTCCAATGACTACCTGCTTGTCGCAAGCAGTATTAGTAGCTCATGATTGTGCTTCTCATGGTTTAGCTGGCTACTTGGTTTCTGATTCTAGGTTCGGTGATACCCCTGCTATGAAAAGAGGGATAGAATCTCCATCGTCCTGGAAATCTCCTTGGTTCATGAACTCTTTCTTGCCTGGACCACGTATTGATACAGACATAACGATTGAGGTATCACAAAACTTCTTTGTTGTCTACTTTGAATTATATCTTCTGCTTGAATATATCCTCTGTGGATATTTTAAATTTTCATACTTTTGTTTGTTGTGCTGGATAAGCTTGGGAAGCAAGCTTATAATTTGCAGTTTGACGTTGTTCCATTAAACATGGGGTCAAGTTAGACTCCAAGTGGGTTAACATGTGCTGGATACCTTGCCAGGATTTGACCATGGGCTTTGCAACCCAAAAAGATTTAGAGTTTAGACCCTCTTTGGTTGGATGGTCAGCTGCAACCTAATTACTATATCTTGCTAGGAATTCTTACCATATATGTATCTGTAGTACCCAATAATCTCAAACATTGATATTTTATTCTTCTCCTCGTGCATTTTTATAATGACTTGATCAAGGTATTTTGCTACATTTCCTCCCTCCTTTCCAACAGCATATTTCTTTCATTCATTTGTCTAATGATTTGGAATTTTGTGCAGGACATAGGATTTTTATTGAGCCCTGGGGATAGAAGCTATGATGCCATAGGGTTGATGAGACAGTTGAGTGAGCATACTGCAGCTGCATTGGCTGAGGCACAGGAGGTTTTAGCAAGTGAAAATACTGAAATTTACTTAAAGGAGGAAAGGCAGAGTGACCAGAATTTGGCTCAAGAGAGTTTCGTAGATAATGAGAAGGAAATACACGTTTCTCTGTCTCCTGGTGTTCTGGTACGATTTTATTTATTTATGTAGCAATTGTTCTTGTGTGTTGTGTGCACTTGGGGGAGGGGGGTCATCTACATTATATTTGAAAGAGATGCCATCCGTTATATGGATAATGTTAAAATACAGAAATGCCCCTAATTGCTTGTGGTCTTCAGCCCAATTTTTAGAACTTTAGGATTTTCCACTAAACATAGATTTTACCCAAGCTATGTTTATGAAGAGCTAAAAAAATTGAAGACCTTGCTTAACCATTTTAGTTTTGCTTTCTCAGACTGAGAGGCGGGCTCTCGATTTCAGTGGATGCATGACACCTCAGAAGGGAACAGAGAACAGGAAGCACAAGGGGGCTGCATCTGCTGCAGTAAGCTTTTCCAGCCCGTCTTCCTATCTGATGAAAGGTTGCAGGTAGTTGGTTCATGGCAAGTGCCCTGTGCTGCTGTAATGTTCATAAATATCTATCTATCTATATCTATCTATCTATCTATCTATATATATATATATATATGTAGTAGCTTTTCCAGCCCATCTATCCTTTTTGCTTTTATTTTTTCTTGTTTATTGTCACATTTCTGTATCTGATAATGAGTGGTGTAACCGTTCAAATTCTGGTTTATAGTAAAACAAATCTAAATTCCTTCGCTACTTGGTTCTAGGGTGGACACAGGCAAGTTTCAAAATATAGATACGGGCAATACACAATAAAAAATTGTGTTATCCTCCTGATTCTTTACATCGATAAAATGTTAATCTTTATTCTCCCAAATTCACAGAATTGTGTATCTCCCACTCAGAAAACCGATATGTATTGATACTTTCTTCTTTAAACACAGTTCAAGGAAATGAAAAAAAAAAGTTGGCATACATCAATCATATTGACAACCAATATGTATCAATACGTTGTTTTTGCTCAATACAAATTTGATCAGGTCAGAGTGCAAATCATGGTTATAATTATAAACAATCAGATGCAGACCTGAACTGTGCAAAATTTGTACCCGATTAAAATTTGTTCCGCAAACAGAGCCTCTTAGTGGTACAACAATAAATTCTGATAACATTAAGGCCTCATCCGTGTCCCTTTAATGAATTATTTGGATAAATGCACTTATCCGGACAAATGTTTTTCTGGCAAATGTTTATCTAGATAAAAACACTTACTAGTGTTATTTTATTGCCTAAGTAAAGGTGTACGAAGGCCGATTAATCCAAAAAAGTGACATTATTGAAGGGACAATGTTATCCCCTCATATATTAATGATTTTTGGCATGCATGAGTAACATAGTAATTTATCCAAGTCTAAGGAGAACATTACTTGGGAAATGTTAATTTTGGTAGAACTTGCTAATACCAAAAAACCAATGCAGGTTTATTTCTTTTCTATGGGACTTGCCAATTTACCTAGTCCCAAAGGTTCTCAAGTTACTAGTTTGACAGTTGCCCTTCTTTGAAATTTGTGGTTGCCTAAGAAGCTTCATTGATTGAAGCCAATAATTATAAGAAAAATATGTATATATATATTTTAAGTTATATTTTACTCCAGTGCCAACTAGATAGATGGCTTTGTATGATGCTTGATACTGATTTATTTAGTATCAATCATATACAATGCCTATTACAAATTACAGTATAAAAAAAGTTAATTTAAAAAACATTCGATTCGATAATATTGATTGCATGTTAAATCAATCTCTGCATATCGCATTGAAAATAAGCAATCCGTTTATTAATTCACACTTCACAAAATGTATTTTCACATTTAACAAGATGTATTTACCATTATGTTTAACCAATCAAGTTTTTTGTTCCACGGGAAAATGCATCTTAGATTTTGTCATAAAAAGAAAACCTTTTATAAAAGAAATTACAGTAAAATTGATAGAGTGAAGATGAATGTTTAATAATATTCTCTTTTTTTTCATTCTCTTACTAGTAAAATTTTTAGTTGTTCAGTATTCTATTCATAAGTTATTAATTGTGAACTTGTGTTGTAATCATGACTGCTTGGGTACTAATTTGGGTGTTGTTTATTTAATAAACGTTTTTGAACTAAATGATAATAAAACCAAACACCATTTTGCTTACCATCTACCAATTCGTTTGAAAAGAACGGAATTTGGGTTTACTTCAGTTTCGACTTTCGAATGAACTATGAAGTGATCAGACAAACCAATCTCTGCTGAAAATCGGGTGTCACAAACATCGGAATCTTAAAATTTCGGTTCTGTTCCGGTCACTGCAGCTGAAATGTGCTCGGTTAAACAACACACTGATTCGGCTCCGATACACAGGAATATCGTCCGAAAACGAACGAGTGGACAATTCCGACATTTTCAACTAATCTGAATCACTGAAATCACAAGGTAGTCAGTGACGAGAATGGTAGAAGAAGACGAGGAAGAACAGTTTGAGCAAACCAAGCCTTAGCCCTAATTATCTGTTCATATTCTGTATTTATTTATTCACCAGAGATGGAAACTGTAGGCGTTCTGATGACTAAACCCTTCTCGGCATACCTGGAAGAAGAGCTCGACAAGAGATTCAAGCTATTCAGGTTCTGGGAATCGTCAAACAGGAAGGAGTTTCTGAAAGAGAATTCGCATTTGATTAGAGCAGTCGTGGGGAACGCCACGGCTGGCTGCGATGCTGAGATGATTGGTTTGTTGCCCAAGCTGGAGATAGTATCTAATTTCAGCGTTGGGTTGGATAAGGTTGATTTGGTGAAGTGCAAGGAGAGAGGTATTAGGGTTACTAACACCCCCGATGTTCTCACCGACGATGTTGCTGATTTAGCATTGGCTTTGATTTTGGCGGTGCTCAGGAGGATCTGTGCTTGTGATCGTTACGTCACGAGTGGGTCCTGGATCAATGGGAACTTTAAGCTGACTACCAAGGTCTGCCATTCATTCTTCTTTCACTGTTATCGTTTTCTTTTTCTTTCCTTCTCCTAATTTAATTTTGAATTCAGTGAAAATAATCAAAATACCACTTCTTTTAATGGTCAGTTTTATTTATTTTTTCTGCAGTTTTTGATAGTTCATAGAATACAAGTTTCCATTGTTACCTAGAAAAAAAGATTTCAAGCCTAGAAATTTTACCTAGAAGAAGATATCTTTTCTCATCTGTGAGCGTATGTTTGCCCGGGTGCATGTGGGTTCAAACTGTAATGAACATTGATGTATGCACAACCCTTCTTGTTGAAGTAAGCAGAGTGCTCGAATTCTTGCTCTTGGTTGAATATTTCTTTCCATCTAATGGAATTATAGTTTCTTTTGCTTGATCTCTTTTTATTGATTTAGTTGTTTTACTGACCACCATGATCTTACCAGTGCACTGCATTCAAATCATATACATGTCTTTAATCTTTTTAATGTAGTTTAGAGCAAGCAGATGCATATATAATTCGTTGACGTTTTTTTTTCTTTCTGATAAGTTATATGACTCATGGTTCATTGATGTGATCTGAACACCACATTACTTGGTCATTTTTGAATGCCTTGTTACATAAACAAGAGGTTTCAGGAATTAAGAAACTTCTTGACCCACAGTTGCTATCATTTGCAGCGAATGTGATTTTATTCTAAAAGTTTTCTGCTAGGGAGACGAAAATGTAGAGTAGAGTAGGCCATCTATTCTACAACTTGTCTCAATAGGTTTACTGATTAGTCAAATTCAGCTGATATCATGGTTCTGCAAATCCAGAGAGCTGCAAATTTGGAAGGTTACCCTTAGTACAACTCAGATTGCCTAAGCCACTCCCTGCCAAGATATACTATGGTTGTTTTCTCCTCTTTTTGGATGCAAATCCTATAAATCTCACTGGCATTTTTTACTATAAAGATCTTTTCAAGTTTCCAAGGGAAATTGGTTACACCCAAAGCCTAACTGCTAAAATGATTTTTCAGTTGAAGTTAACTGCTAATGGTCATCATTCACAGGGAAGCAATTTGAGAGGTTCAAAAAGTTGAACTTTACAAGTATTTTATTTGATAATATCTGGTTGACATAGTTACTAATACAAATGATGGTGAAGCATTATAAATTTTCTTTCTGGATCTATTTGGGGCATTCCATAGTTATCTTTTGCTTTGTACCAAAAAAAATAGTCTTTTTTGTTTTCTAGATTGTTCTATGAGTATATCAATCAGGAATGGAATTGGAGATTGATAGCCTTATGCCTTCATCTCAATGTGTCCATGGAAATTTGATTAGGTAGGAAATTTATTCATATGAAGGACATCTTGCTGTCAGTTCTGGGATCTATCATTCATTGATTGAAGAAAAAACTGCCGGAGATTTTCAAGGCTGGAAAATTATATTACTTTTTTTTGTGCCATTTTAGGTGTTGTGTTATACATTAAGGCCTTATCCTTTTCTAACAGTTTTTACATATTAAAGATAGATTTAAATGGAATATGGCACATAAATATACCATATTAGATTGGTGGTATTTGGAGTCTTAGAATAACAATTTCTATTGTGGTGTATGCTTGAATTAGCATATAGCAATATAAATATGTTCCAGTGTACTTGCCAAAAGACTTCTTCAATGATAACCCTGTGTCCTGTAATGACTGAGGTGTATAGAACTGTTACTCATCGTATGCTCCTCAATCAATATAAAACAACAATTTAATACATTTATGTGTATTGTGTTAAGGCCTAACCTGTCTCACAAGTATTCATTACATTTTCTTGAATGGAAAAGAATTGGTGCAGTTTTACCAAATTTGGTTCTACATCAAACTCATTACTCACCAGAAGATCTACCTTTAGCTGTTATGTTTGCATTGAATTATCTCTTTGCTTAGTTCGTGTTTCTTATTCTTTTTCAGTTCAGTGGCAAATCGGTAGGCATTCTAGGACTGGGTAGGATTGGTTCAGCAATTGCAAAAAGAGCTAACGCATTTGGGTGCCCGATCAGTTATTACTCCAGATCGGAGAAATCAAATACAGATTACAAATACTATCCAAGTGCAGTGGAATTGGCAGCTAACTGCGAGATACTGGTAATTGCTTGTGCTCTGACAGAAGAAACACACCACATTGTGAACCGTGAAGTGATAGATGCATTAGGTCCACAAGGTATCATCATAAACATCGGGCGTGGTTCACACATTGATGAGCCAGAGCTCGTTTCTGCGCTGGTTGAAGGGCGGTTGGCAGGGGCTGGGCTGGATGTATTTGAGAATGAGCCGCAGGTACCGGAACAACTGTTTGGACTTGACAATGTAGTGCTACTTTCCCATGTGGGTAGTGATACAGTGGAAACGTGCAAGGAGATGGCAGACCTTGTGATTGCTAACCTGGAGGCTCACTTTCTAAATAAGCCTCTGTTGACACCTGCGGTTTGAGAGGGGCTTGGATGCTGGACTGGTATTTCATTTGGACATCTCTGAATTCTACTCAGAAAGTTGATAAACTTGATTTCTTTGAGTTTTAGAACAGTCAACAGTGTTGCGCAGAATGGGATTTTGCAGGTTGGTGAGCCATGTTAACAAGCAGGGGAATTTCGTTATCCCCAGTCCCAAGGTCCAGTTACTAATTTTGTGATTCCAACTTCATGAGAATGAATTTATGAATGTTTTTGGAGCCAATTCCCTTATTTTTACCTTAAAATTCAGAGAAAAGGATGGATTGATATACAGGATATACAAAGCTTGCTTCTCAAAGCTCTGAGTCGAATTTTGAGTAGCAAGTTCTTTAGTGGAGCCGAGCTCGAGTAGTGCAATGTATCGACTGGACTCAGCTCGATTACACCCCTAGTCCAAACAGCCCCTTTCAGAAAATAATAAGTATCTTTGTTTTGATTGTAAGACCATTGCAACATGGAACCAAACATTATTATTCATCTAAATAGCAAATTATTTTACAAGCTATATTATGAGCATCTGCCAAGAATTTATAGCACAGAAGACTATCTACAGCACCCGATAAGAAGGGATCTATTGCAAGTTGAAGGGAATACAAGTGTTGGGGGCAGATAAAAAAAAAGAGGGTTTGATCATGATAACGGAAAATCATGTAACCACTCAACGGTATCATAAAAGTGGTAACCAATCAGGTAGTATTTATCAAAATTTACATAATATTTGATTGGTTAAATCTTTTTTGGCATCACGTCTTTTTCTTAAAAAACCACATGGATTGAAGTAATAAAAGATAAGGGTAAATTGCTAAAACTTCCCATGAAGTTTCTGATTGCTGCTGCTAAAATCTTTCCTGAAGTTTAGTAATTACAATCACCTCCCCTGAACTTTTTGTCACGGTTGTAAGTAGATCACCTTTGTTAGAAGCTTCTAGAAAGAGGCACGAAATGTTCAAAATACCCATACAATTACTATTGAGGCTGGTCTTCACACACACACAAAAAAAAAAAAAAACAGTACAAACTTTATAGATAATAAAAAATAGAGAATTTAAAGTTGCAGCTTTACATTTGAACGATTAATATGAAGAGTGAAGTTGGAAAATAAACCAATTTCAGAAAAAAGATCGAAAGGGATTGGGCAAACGATTCATATGAAGAGAATTGGAAAATAAACATTTTGATCAAAAGTAACTGCACGAATACTTTGGACATTTTGACGTCTCTTTTTATAAGATTATAACAAAGGGGTCTACTTGCAACTATGTGGGAATGTTCAGGGGAGGTGATTGCAATTACCAAACTTCAGCTAAAAAAACAACTAGAAACTTTAGGGAACATTTCAGCAATTTACTCTAAATTTAAGTGCTCATAATTTAACAACAGATGTTCAGTATTAAGATACTAATCTCGGCCAAAAATCGGATTGAAATATAGAAACCCAGAAGTTTCAGATACTGTGGCAGAAATGTGCTATGACTTACCGTGTGAAGTGTGAACTAGAGATGAGCATAATTCGGTTAAAACCGAAAAATCGAACCGAAGTTTAGATTTCAGTTTAATTGGTTTGGTTTAATCGGTGTTCGGTTTCTAAAATTGATTTTCCCACATTTTGGTCATGGTTCACAAATCGGTTAACGGAAAAGATCGATTTATTTTTAAAGTTATATAAATTTTTTAATATTATTGATAGTTTCTATAGTTTGATATGTCGATCGATACAAAAAGCTTTCCAGCTCAGTACGAGGAAACTTAAATACTACACCATAAAGTCTAAGTAAAAAGGAAAAACTTAAGGCTATGTTTGTTTGAGGTATAAATTCAAATTTTACACCCATGAAAAATGTGAACCGGTTCAGTAATAGATGGAAATTAGGACCAATTGTTTTTGAAAATTTACACCAATGTTCCCAAGATGTGTTATAGGCCGTTGAATGTTGACTCCAGTATCTTATGGGCCCTAAAGCTGGCAGAAACTCTAAAATCTATAATACCCATTGACCAAGTTAATGTTAGTTTGGCAGCACAGATATGGCTCGTGGTAGTTGCTTTTAAAACGGTGCACCTTTATTAAAGTGTCCATGTTTTAACAACAAAAGGCAATAAATACCATTGGGCTTACATCTTATTACAATGTTGCCATTGAAGATCTCTGATACACACATACCCGGTCTGCGACTGGTGGCATTTTGGATATTTTTTGTAGAAAAACAAAAATAAACAGCAAACATTCCTGCCTTGGTGCATTGTCAAAAGATGAGGCATCCTTTTTAATAATTTACTCTTTTTGGGACCATGATTGATTCAGTGAGAGTCCCCCCTCACGAAAAAAGGGCTGGTTTACACATGAACCAAATAAAATGTAGTTCAATTGAATCTTACAATGACACAAGTTTCTAACAGTCGCTGCCACAAAACTAAAACTTACTTAGATCTGTTGAATGTTTGTAGAGAGTTGAAGTTCACCAATTTTACTCCATCCTTGGCATGCTTTCACTAGTGATTTGACTGATTTTGAATTGATAGGTAATCCATGAGTCAACTAACCCAGTCAGAAAAGTCTTCTCAGGAGCAATAATATTATTGAAAATCTAAACTTTGAACTTTCAATACAGAGATAAATTCCAATGTTTTATTGAATTCTATCCAACAGTATTCACAATTGATGAAAGATCATTTGGCTCTGTGAATAACCAACTAATATGACAGCAATTACCACATCTAGTATAAGTGTATAACCAACCATACAGTCAACAGATCTCAAAAACCATATACTTGCTACCAACTTAACCATCTAATACTCTATGTATATGCATCCAAAGTATCATAGGCTGTGATAAATTTCTGCATTCATTCAAGGGAAAAAAAACAAGGGGATTTTAGCATAGCATTTTGGGCCAATCAAGAAAAAATCAATTAAAATTTTGTATTTTTCATGCATTTATCCATTTGAACCTCAAATTCAGTATCACTGATGCATTTTTGGTTCTAATACGATTTCCCCTGGTGTATTCATGCATATCATAATCACTTCATTGTATTCATACATTTCCTAAATGCATCATGATATACATCTTAAAACCCACTGTCCAAACAGTTCTTTCAAAAATCCCAAATAAAGCTTATAATATATAAACTGGCATTGGGTTCCATACGTTTCTCTTCACTGCCCCCTAAATGGCATAGTGTCAAAGCTGTTTGTGCCTCTACCAAACAATAGATTTTTAATCACCAATCAAGTGAGATGTATTTAATTTTGAATCCACATGCTTTTTATAAGGGACACATAAACAGCAATCACCAACAAAGAACAAGTTGATGAACAAAACGTCTAGTAAAAGAAGATGAAGAATAGCACAGATATAAATTCGTTACCCTTGATTTCTTATGGCTTGCAGCTTGAGTTTTTCCTCAGATCCAAGAAGAAAATAAGATGGCTTGTTGGTCATAAGACTAAGCAGAAACAGTAAATCCAGAAAGTGGAAAATAGAATTGACCAATGAATGGCAAAACAAAGTCAAAAGAACAATGATCCTTTAAGTTTTGAATGGGTGTAGATCTTATATGCTTACATGTTTATTTATT